GCCCAGCTAATTTTTTTGGTATTTTTTAGTAGAGACAGGGTTTCATCATATTGGCCAGGCTGGTCTCGAACTCCTGACCTTGTGATCCGCCCGCCTCGGCCTCCCAAGTGCTGGGATTACAGGCGTGAGCCACCACGCCCGGCCTTGTAGAACTTTTTCATCACAAACAGAAACTCTATATCCATTCAGCACTAACTCCCCATTTCCCCTCAGCATGTAGTAACCTCTATTTTACTTGTGCTTATGAATGTGCCTATTCTAGGTGCCTCATCTCAGTGGAATCATTCAATGTTCCTTTTGTGCCTGGCTTATTTTAACTGTTAGCATCAGGTTTTCCGTTTCATCCATGTTGTAGCATGTGCCAGTCTTCATTTCCTTTTTTTTTTTTGCGTATTTTTTGGTGATTTTCAAATCTACAATTTAGTCCTTTTGAAGTGTACAATTCAGTGGCATTTAGTCCATTCAGAGTGTTATGCAACCATCACCATGATCTGGCTCCAGAACGCTGTCATCACCCCAAAAGGCAACCTCGTGCCCGTTCAGCATCACCCCCTATCCTCCTCCCTGCAGCCCTGGCCGCCGCTCATCTGCTTCCTGTCTGTGAACCTGGCCCCTCTGAATAGTTCATGTAAATGGCATCATACACAGAAGTCTTTTCTGCCTGGCTTATTTCACTTGCATCATTTTTTCAAGGTTTGTTCAGGTTGTAATGTGTATTAATACTTTGTTTCTTTTTATTGCCAGGTAATATTCCAAAAAGTCTGCCATATTTGGTTTATCCACTCATTAGTTGATAGACATTTAGGTTGTGTCCACTTTTTGGCTATTATGAATAGCGCTGCAGTGAACACTTGGGTTTAAGTTTGCATGTGGATGTATGTTTTCATTTCTCTTGGGTATAAACCCAGGAGTGAAATTTCTGGGTCAGAGGCTAACTCAGCTTAGATTTTTGAAGAACCACCAGACTGCTTTCCAAAGTGGCTACACCATTTCACATTCCCACTGGCAGTGTATGTGGGTTCCAGTTTCTCCATGTCCTCCCCAACGCTTGTCAAATGTCTTTTTGATTCTAACCATCCCACTGGGTGTGGAATGGTGCAGCTCTGTGGTTTTGACTTGTCTTTCTCTAATAGCTAATGATGTGCAACATCTTACTGCCTATTTGTATATCTTCTCTGGAAAAATGTTTATTCGGATCCTTGCCTTTTTTGAGGGGAGGGTGTTCATTTGTCTTAATTAAAGACAACTTGTATCTAGAATTCATAAAGCATTCTTTTTTTTTTTTTTTTTTTTTTTTTTTTGAGACGGAGTCCCGCTCTGTCGCTGTCTCTTATACACATCTAGATGTGTATAAGAGACAGCATGTGATCACAGCTCACTGCACCTGGAACATCTGGCCTCAAGCAATCCTCCTACCTCAGCCCCCTGAGTAGCTGGGACTCTGGGCATGAGCCACCACGCCTGGCTGTTCATAAAGGATTCTTTATGTATTCCAGATACAAGTCCCTTATGAGATACATCACTTGTAAATATTTTCTCCCATTCTGTGGGCTGTCTTTTTCTGCTGATGTTCAACGTATGTACTTTTGTTGCTTGTGCTTTTGGTGTCGTGGAAGAAACCATTGCGGAATCCAGGGTTAAGAAGGTTTCTGCCTAGGTTTTCTGCTAAGAGTTTTCTAGTTTAGCTCTTGTATTTATGGTGTGAGGGAGGTCTAGCTGCTTTCTTTTGGTGTGGATATCCAGTTGTCCCGGCATCATTTGTTGAAAATACTTTTCATTCCCCATTGAATTGTCTTTGGCACCACGGTTGGAAAAAAAAATCAATGGACCATAAATGTGAGGGTTTATTTCTGGACTCTGAATTATTTTCTCTCGATCTATATTTCTGTCTTTTGTTTTCTTTTTAAAATTCATTAAAGAGGATATTTACAAAAGTATGCATTTATGAGCCACTGCTTTAAAACTTCTGTTTATGGTTTCCTGTATTGTATTTCAGCTCGTTTTCCATAATTACCTCGTTTTGTCTGTCATGGAGTGGTGAAGTGTAACGTTAATGTCATCAGGGTGGTGATGTTCCCATTTTTCAAAGATTGCTTTGAACACAGGAAGTATTTTCTGTTGGCAGTGATAACATAAAATGTTGAAAATGAAATATGGAAGTTTGTGAGTCAAAGATTTTCTTACCTTACTTGCATTTGAAATGCAGTACCACAAAAATATGCAGAATAAATGGTTATAACTTTTTCTTTAATAACGTAGACATTTTTATACCATCAAAAATTATTCTTTACGATTATACATCTCTTTATAGAATTCCCGAGTTGGAGGTAGAAGAAGAAACCCAAGTTCAAGAGATGACTTTAGATGAATGGAAAAATCTTCAAGAACAGACCAGACCAAAGCCTGAGTTTAACATCCGGAAACCAGAATCCACTGTTCCTTCCAAAGCAGTGGTGATTCACAAGTCAAAATATAGAGATGATGTAAGCATTACATTTCGTATGTAGAGGTAATCTTTACTTTTACCTTATTGGAAGTGAAATGGACCTTTCCACTTCTATCTTGAAAATGAAACGTTAGTAATTGGCGCTTTTGTTTCTAATCAGAGATGATCTATGCCTAATTTTACTGTATCTTTATTGTTCATTAAGAAAAGGAATTGAAACTTGATGTATTGAGAGCAGCTCAGAGCAGTTAGAGGAACAGTGTATCTTCTCCTCCCCCTGGGGCTGTGCTGGGACTGTACACATACTGTGTGTTCCTTGTTTTCCTTTTTCTCAAGCGAGAGTTACAGACTGTGTCTTGTACACTTCCAAGTTATTCAAAGGATAACTACACTCTGTTTTCCCTGAGTAGTTTACTTGACTTTCAACTCTGATTTTTGATGAGAGCATTTCACTATGAGTAGTTGATGACGTTTGAAACTGTGGTGGAGGTTCCATGCTCTTCTGACGCCTTTCCCGTGTTGGCTCAGCAGCGTCGCGCCCCTTGCCTAACTGCAGAGGTGGCGGGAAATGAGGCCCCGAACTGCCTGGCTGCTTGGTCAGGCCCCAGCGGCCAGTGTGCTGCGGGGGTTGCCGGGAGCTCCTCCGTGTTGCGAGGCCTCATTGCTCACGGCTTCCATCCGGCTCTTCTCAGAAGCTTCAGTTTTGCAGGGAGAGGTGTCGGGGAAACATCCAGCAGCATGTGTTGATAGGGATGCCACTGGGTCATTGAGTCTCCTACTTAAGTTACTGAACTTAAGGCAAGGTCCACTGAAGCGTTCTCATTATGGGATTTGAATCTGGATCATTCCGTTACAGCTTGATACCGGTCGCTGTGTCGAGGTGGGAGTGAGCGGGTTCTTCCTCTGCGGGGTGTTAGTCATTGATTTTCATGTGGAATCTCAGGAATGTTACCCTGTTGTAGAGTTGTCATTTACACTTTGGTTAGTTTCATTTTCTGAGTGAATACTTTGATTAGGGGGTCATTTAAGATACAGGGTTCTTGGGAGGCCAAGGCGGGTGGATCACCTCAGGTTAGGAGTTTGAGACCCTCCTGGCCAACATGGTGAAACCCTGTCTCTACTTAAAATACAAAAAATAGCCGGGCGTGGTGGCGGCGCCTGTAGTCCCAGCTACTCGGGAGGCTGAGGCAGGAGAATGGCGTGAACCCGGGAGGCGGAGTTTGCAGTGAGCCCAGATCACACCACTGCACTGCAGCCTGGGCGACAGAGTGAGACTCCGTCTCAAAAAAAAAAAAAAAAAGATACAGGATTCTCTCCCATCCTCCTGTTTTGGTCAGTCCAAGCTGTAGGAGGCCTTACTAGTAAGTTCTGAGCTGTTCCACGAGCAATGGCTTTTTGTAGACATAGGTGGCCAGAGCTTTATTTCCTTGGCAATCTCTGGGAGGTGATTTCTAATTCCATTAGCTAGCTGGGTTGGTTCTTTACCTGTCCACTTCCTTTGTTCTTTTTTGTTCTAGGCATTGTAAGTAAAATTTTCTCAAAAACAAATGTGCTGTCAGGATTGAAATGTGCAGCTGACATGTTAGGTAAAAATAGAAGCTGTTCTTTCTTAATCCACACCAGATTCGTCCTCCCTGGCTCCAGAGGTCTCCCAGAATATTTGAAGCAAGTGGGTTAGCTGAGTCATCGAGCTTGGTCTCAGTGAAGCACACAATTGGTCCTTGTTAATCTGAAAGGATTGAAGCTTTTAGCTAGGAATTGTTCTTAAAGCAACACAAGCCTGATCTTGGGTTCATCAGTTTACTTTGTTCTGGACACCCGAAGAGACAAAAGCACTAGAATACCTAGCAAAGTTCGGACCTAGTAACAACCCCGTGTAAGGCATTGGGCAGTTAAAGCACTTTGGCCAGGGCCAGCTGGAGCTGCGAGTGGAGCCCAAGCCTCCGTATGTCCTTAGACTGTGTGTCCACTCCCTGCTCCACTCTCCCGAGGCCCTTCCTGCCCCTTCCTGCCCCTTCCTGCAATGGGAGGCGGCTCAAAGCAGGGCCCCCAGGGAGACCTTCCCAGGGCTTCCCTGCTGAGTGCCAAACGAGGCAAGAGTTGATTATTCTGCCTGTCACTATTTTTTGTGTGTTTATCTTTTTACAGAGTGCCAGTGCTCCTGGATTGTTTTTCTTCACCTTTTTAGCACTAAGCATCCAACTACCTAAAGCCTCTGCTTTATTTTAACCTGAGACCTTAAAGGGGACACAAATGTTAAGCGTGAAGGCTGCCCTGAGCCTATGGCCTAAAGGTGTGGATGTGCTTGTGGAAACTTGGTTCCATTTCCTGGTTGTAGTAAATGTTTAATGTTGTGGTACTTTGGAGATTCTCATCTGAGATCACTGACATATCTTCTTTTCTGTAGGTTTTTATTTTACTTAAAGTGGGTTTGTGTGTGTGTGTGTGTTTGTGTGTGTGTTATCCATTATTATGAGTTGAAGCCAAATCAAATTTGGATCAGATTTAATTAATATAGTTGTCACAAGACACAGAATTTTAATGAAAGCAGTTGTTAAAAAGCAGCTTGACTTTGTGCGGTGTTGGTAGAACACTCAGGTAACCATACTGTGTTGTTTTTATACAATTTCTCTGTATTTTGAGTGAGAATTGTTTATTATAAATCATGTGATTTCTAGCACATGGTATTTAGAGTCAGCACCCATGCTGAAAGGGATTTCTCTATTAAATTCGGGGAAGGAGATATTTCCTTGTTTATCAAAGCATTTGTGAACAGATAAGACAGAAAATCAGCAAAAATGAAAACTTTTTTATCTCAGCAAAATACACTTAGATATAAAACATGTATATCGTTTGCTATTATTAGTCATGCCGAATCTTACATCTTAACCTGCTCAGGTGATAGAAATTTGGTCCCACTTGAAATCCTAAGTTCCAAGGTGTTTGGATTAAGATTGTAATTGCAAGAATGTGGGACTGCAAACACACGGAACTCACTGTCTTGGAACTGGAACAGCAGGTGCCGTCCTCCTGTGTCCAGCTCTGCAGCCCAGGGCCAGAGACACTTCCAGAGCGTGGCCCTGTCTAGCCCCTGACGGTGCTTTAGCTCCTGTGCAGCACATGGCAGCCACTAAGCCAGATGAGTGTGGGGATTGGCTATGGACTTGTGCATGTTGGATGCTGTAACTGTGTTTCAGATGGTAAAAGATGACTATGAGGACGATTCCCATGTTTTCCGGAAACCCGCCAATGACATCACATCCCAGCTGGAGATTAATTTTGGCAACCTCCCTCGTCCCGGGCGCGGAGCCAGAGGAGGCACCCGGGGAGGCCGGGGAAGGATCAGGAGGGCAGAGAACTACGGACCCAGAGCAGAAGTGGTGGTAGGTGTCTGCATTATCAATCCCGAATGGTTTGCTGAAGGAAGTGAATCAGGACAGTGTCCCGGCCCAGGAGGGTCTAGTTCAGAGGGTCATCGGCTTCTGCGGTGGCTTTTCCTGTAGCTAGCGTGGGCCTGATGTTGGGGATTTGGACGGTGTTGCAGCATCATGGACATCTTGGCTAGAGACCATTCTGGAGCCCTGGCTTCCAGGGTCTGCTGTGAAGGCACTCCCGGGGTCCGAGAAAAACTCACTCTCATCTGCATTAGACAAGATCCCCAGGCTTGGGACTGAACTGGAGCACCTGACATCTTGCTCACTGTGGCCTGATTGTATACCTTGGGCTCAAGTGATGCTGTCAGAGTGAACAGAATCCGTCCTAAGATCTCAAGCCCTTTGTGAGGGGACCTTCCTCAACCCCGCCCCAGCTCACCGGCCTCACACCGTCCTCAGCCAAGGCTGCCTGCTTCTAGCTCTCGACACAGCATGCCCCTTACCCCTGGCCTCTGCCTGCGGCCTCCGTTCATCCTTCCGACCTCACTTCCTCACAGGTTTCTTTGATCACATCTCCTAGACCGGTCAAGGTCTCGGAGCAAAGGAGTTTCTTTTCATTGAAGCCTGATCTCCGTGTGTGACTGTATTCCCACTGGTGTGGCTATTAGTCAGCGGCTGCTTTTGCTCATTATCAGTTTATGCAGTGCCTGGCATGTAGTAGGTGCTTCCTAATGTGATAGTGACACTTGTTCGTCGGAAGTCAGCCCTGAGGCCCTGTGGCACACACCCCTTGTCTGTGGCTGGTCTTCGCAGTGCTCCTCTGGCTGCCCAGTTCCCTCGCTCTAGGGAGCAGCCCCTGGAAGCGGTATCTGTGGTTTGGTTTTGCTGAAGCAGGAGCAAAAACACAATTTTTTGGGGGGTGGGGGTGGGGGTATATTTGGGGCCAGGCTGGAAACAGGGTCTATTCTGAGATAGGAAGCACATCCTCACTCCTTTCCTATCGCGGACTCTGGCCCCTGCAGCACTCCGGGGCGTGTGCTGGGAACCGCTCTGAGACCCAGCGCCTCCCGTCTCTTCACTGGCATCTGTCCCCACCTCCACAAGCTGTGTACCCCCCACCTCAGAAGAGCCCTCAGGGCCACCCCTGCCCCCATCAGGCCACACTGTTTCCCAATCCGGGTCCTCGTTCCCTTTGCTTATCCACTGAGGTTCATCCCAGGGAGAACCTTCTCTTCCCACGAAACCTTGCCTGACCTTGGTGTCCACTTTGCCATCAAATTGCACTGGACGGCCCTCCTGTGGCCCCTCCCTCCCAGGACGTGTTAGTGAAGCTCCTGACTCGATGGTCCGTTTCTCCAGAGCCATGAGCTCCCCGAGGACAGGCACTGTCTGTGCCCCTCCTCCTCCCTCCAGTGCCTGGCACGCAGTAACCGTTCCATTTACTCGATGAAGGACGTGCCCGTGCAGAGCCCCCCAGTAAGAGCTTGCAGGACATAGGAAGGGAGGCAGCTCCTTTTTCGAGGAGACCGGAGGCCTGTGTGGGAGGGGAGCTGTGCTTTCCTGGGTTAGCAGTGACCTGTGTCTCTCCCCTTCCCACTGTGGATCCTGCCTCTAATGCAGGCCCCTCAGCGTTGGTGCCAGGCCCTTGTTATCCCACTGGGCCACTGGGAATGGATGAAGGGGCAGTGGATTTCAAAGTGTGTCTTTTCTTCTTTAGATGCAAGATGTCGCCCCCAACCCGGATGACCCTGAAGACTTCCCTGCGCTGTCTTGAAAGCGCCCGTATCCCGGCACCGCGGAGCTGCACTGCGCACCTGTGGAGACTTTTCCAGCTGGGCCAAGACAGTCAGACTCTGAGAACAATAGATGTTGCTTTTCCCATGTTGTGTGAATTTGTCGCACTTTTTCGGGCTGGGCTGTTAGAGGGGCTTCTCCAGAGGCTTGAGAGCAGGCCCTTTCCCAAGCAGGTGAAGAATGGTGACTGTGTTTTTACTGAAGGAATTTCAAATGAAGTCCAGGAATAATGTTTAAACTGTGTACATAAGAGATAGTATAGACTCCTCCGCGGGAGCGCGGAGGGAAAGGAGGTCGCCAAACAGACTCCCTGGAGACTCTTAGGAAGCTGTAGATTCCCGGAGGCTGTGCCTGTAGCGTTAGAGGAAACACGTAGAACCGGAACTGTTCATGGAAAGCAGTCACAGCTGAGTTTTCAGAGACCAAGAAATTAAACTACAATTGTACTTACTGTTTCCTTGTAAATGTTATCTACTCTCCTGGAATAGTTTCCTTTCTGGTTTTCACTTAACCAGTCATTTAAAAATCGCTATCGTGTAGCCACTGGCCACCACTCTGTGACACAGAATCCGAGAAAGTGTTGATTTTTCATTGTGATTTAAACTACCTCCTGGTTTCTGTGTGTGTGCGCGCACACAGCTAGTGTTTGGGTGGTTTTTAGGAAGAATATAAAGTATATGACTTTAAAAACCATGTTATTTAACCTGCCAGTCAAATGGAAAGGGATCGTGGCAAAAGCAAATGCCGCATCCTTTTCCGCCGCAGAAGCAGAGCCAGAGGGCGGCAGCTGTGTGCAAAGGCCTCCGCCTTCGGCTTGGGCACTGTTGTAAATAACTAGTATTTATTAAGCACTCTGAGCAGTTTTTCTCAGTCCTGGCCCCAGTTCTAGAGTTCCTCTTTATGACTTTTGGTGAAAGTTTGGGGTTGGGGGTACACCTCAGAGGTTCAGTAGTTCACCTGGAGTCCCACGCTGAACAGAGCTGGACCCAGAGCCACACGCCCAAAGCACACACTGTGCTGGGGAGGAAGGAGGCCTAGGAGGGCCTGCAGGTCCAGGCAGCTGTAGAGCTGCTAGAAGCTGGGGTGGTGCTCTCCCTGCTTTCTCATAGACGCCACAGGTACTGTCTGCCTGTTGTCACGCAGTTCATAGGCTCGCTTGAGATGGAATCTGAACCTCGGTCCCAGGATCTGTGCTTTTTCTCACTTTGCCACACTGTCTAAGGTGGCTTTGAACTGGAAACCAAGTGCAAATAAAGGTTGGTATTCGCTCCTGACTTTGTGTAGAGAGAACAGTCCTTTGGTTACTCTCAGGCCACAGCAGTCAGTCAGGATTTTGTTGAATCATCAAAGCTGAATCCGTACACGGTAGGGTCAGTTAAGGATGTTTGCTTTGGGTGACAGCCTACTTTTGGACTCTTATTAAATCATTATCTGAGTACTAAGGTTTATCAACTGAGTGTTTTCTTCCTTTTCCTGGAAAAGGCAATGGATGCAAGCGCCCTGATTTCCAAAATCTGAACCTAGCTGGTACAACATCAGGGCTGGGTCATGACTCAGTGGCTTTGAAGCTGTCACACGGTCATTTTGCCTAACCGTGGCTTTGAAGATTAGCCAGAGCTCGCTTTGAAGAAACTTTCCGTCAGTGTTGTGAATACTACTTGAAAAGCCCATAGCATTTGGTTTAATGTTGTAGTTGCAAAAACACTGACAGTTCCTATCGCATAGAGCTGTTGAGTCATGTGGCTGAAGACGGTTTTGGGGAACCCGGTGCATGTTCTGAACCTGTAATGGGCAGTGTTTGCTCACCAGGGCTAGCTCTTGCTGACTTGGTCCTGTGCCCGGATGTAGGGGTTTTGTTTGCGCTCTTTCTGGATTGTGCCAGGTTGTACGTAGCCCCAGGTGCCCCAGAGAAGCCAGGGAAGACAGAAGCGAAGGGCAGGGGGGTGTCACCAGCATGCCGTAGGCACAGTCAGATGGGCAGGGGGTGTCACCAGCATGCCATAGGCACAGTCAGATGCAGAGGTGGCAGGACCTTTTGGACCACAGTGCCGCGGGCAGACTCCTCTGTCAGAGGAGCTTGTGACGTGGGCGTGGACAGGTCCTGGGGCAGTGCACCCTGGGCACCACGTTTCTGGCGACTTAGACTCAAGCAGATTAACCCCATGAAGGACGCCCATGAGGGTTGTCATCCCCAAGTCTTCTGAAAAGTGGAAGTCAAGCAAGTTTGAGTTGGTTAGCCAGGCCCAGGCCGGACTGGATCATGTCTGAACCAGGAGTTGCCTGCTGGGCCTCAGGGGTGTCTGAGTTGTGCCGCCAGGGCAGCTCCTGAAGACTTAGCTCAGGGGGAGGTCCTGGAGCTGCTGCGCACAGCCTGGCACCAGGCGGGTAACGCCGCCCTGCAGTAACTGGGCTGAGGGACCAGATCCTCTAGAGATGGGGGTGCTTGGCTGGGCGCGGTGGCTCATGCCTGTAATCCCAGCACTTTGGGAGGCCAAGGCAGGCAGATCACTTGAGGTCAGGAGTTCAAGACCAGGCTGACCAACGTGGTGAAACCCTGTCTCTACTAAAAATACAGAAATTAGCCGGGCGTGGTGGCAGGCTCCTCAGGAGGCTGAGGCAGGAGAATTGCTTCAACCTGGGAGATGGAGGTTGCAGTGAGCC